GAGACAGTGATGCAATGCTGTATTTCTCCAAATCTGATGAAGAAACAGACTCATCCTAATAAGCTTTCATTTGCGGTTGAACTGTTCCTCTAAAGTTCGTGCTCTGCGAGCGACTCTCACCTGTTCTTCATTTTCTTTTTCCGTGGCGAGTCGTCGTCTGAAGGTTTGCGTCCTCTTCCTTTCGGCCGCCGTTTTTCCTTCAGGCTTCCTCGACCGCCTACTTCTACGAAGGACAGCAGTTTGGTTTTATTCTCCTCGTACATCATGTTGATTGTGACATATGTTATATTTGGCCAAATCAAGCCACAGTCTGTCTTACTCTTGGCCTCTCTGTTGTCTGGACTTTCATAGCCACTGACGTCCAACTTTTCCTTCAGCTCATTCTCAAAGCGAGCGAGATCGGCATCCAGCCTTCTGATGTGTTTGTCCACCTGGTGAGAGAAGGCTCACGTTATGTTTAATAATAATACCAAGAACAAAATGAATGCAGATTCCCAGTGCAAGCGTACAGTATTTGAATCAAACTATTTAAACACATTAGTCATTGACTATTTATTTATAAACATCTTTCTGTTTATCATGATTCAGAGAGCAAGAAATACTTTAGTCTAATTTCGTTTTGATTTTGGTTAAAATGTCAAAACTAAATTTTATTTATTGCCTAAATAAAGTTAAACTAAAAATCATATACATATTTGCATTTATAAATCGCAAATTCTACTCAATTAAATATTTTAGAGCCGAGTATAAAATACCAAAAATATATTGGATAAATCTGATTTTTGATAATACAACAGTTTCTACTCAATTATATATTTCAGAGCTGAGTGTAAAATACAGATTTTATATTTACTATAAACCTATTGTATCATTTTGACAATAAAACAGTTTCTGCTCAATTACATATTTTACATTACGGAGTATAAAATAGATAATTATGTTTACCATTAAAGAAATTCTATGATTTTTGGCAATAAAACATTTTTACTCAATTTAATATTTTAGAGCCGAGTATATGATACAGAAAATGATATTTACTATAATAATTTTAATGATTTTTAACAATTTCTACTCATTTAAATATTTCAGAGCTGAGTATAAGACACAGACAGTTATTATTTACTATAAATAAAAATTCTATGATTTTTGACAATAAAAGTCTTTACTCGATATTTTAGAGCAGAGTATAAAACACATAAAATTATATTTACTATTAAAACAATCTATGATTTTTGACATCAAAACATTTTTTACTCAATTAAATATTTCAGATCTGAATATACAAATTAACAGAAAATTATGATTACTACAAGAAAAAATAGCCTATTCTATGATTTTTGCCAACAATAAACATTTAGAGGCATTTTCAGTATAGAAAATCCTGAAATCACAAATTAAAAATGAATTCACATTCATTAAAAAATATAATAATATTTTTTTTTTTAGGATTACTGATAAACTAATGTAGTTTGATTTGTATTAGTTATCTATTTTAGTTTTAGTTACAGTTGCAGTAATGTTGTCATTTTATTCGTTTTTTATTATGTCTTTATAGGTTTTTTATTTAATTTGAGTTATTTCAGTACTTCAACATACAAAATGGAAATGAAATAATATATATATGTACATGTATATGTATATGTATGTGTGGTTGTACATACACATATGTAGTTGTTTTTTGGTGTTTGGCTTAGTGTTATGTTAGAATCATTATTATACTCATACCTTTTGTTCTTTTAATATTTTGAATTGTTTTTAGCTTTATTTTTTTGCTTTCATTTAAATGTTTAGTTTTTAAATGTCGTTGTATGCGTTTGTCATTTTTATTTAATTTCTTTTATTTTCTTAAATGTGTATATATATATATAGTATTTATAGAGTTTTAGCTTTTAGTTTTAATAACTTTTTCTTATTTGTAAGTCGCTTCGGATAAAAGCGTCTGCTGAATGACTAAAAGTAAAGTAAAGGTAAATAATATTTCCAGGTTTGGTTTTAAAAGTCACTCTCATCTAAACTGGCTTACTGACCATTTCGTACGTCTGCATGGCGAGCTGCACTTTGTTGTCGCTGTATTCTTTGCATTTGCTGAATCCGTTCTGGATCTTCTGCAGGTGCTCCACTCTCTGATCCGGAGCCAGGTTCCGGACGTTTCTAATGTATTCTTCTGCGAGCTTATCGATTTCACATTTCTTTTCTGCGAAAGAAGAAGAAGAAACCGTCACATATTCACATAAAAACACATCCATCCATTCCACCCGAGTTGTGTTTTTTTGTCATTCATATTTAATGTTCCAATGATGCCCAGAAATGCTCCCTAGGTAGACAGCACACTAGGATTAGAGAGTCATCTCACCCTCGGCTCTGTTGTCCAGCTCCCGCATGAGTGTGAAGTTTCTCTGGAGCTCACAGGGCAGGTTTTCAATGCCTAGGGTCATAAAATAAACACATTCATCATTTAATATGTTGTTTACATGCATGAGGAAAGTTCTGGATCGAGTCAGTCACTGTCCTCTCTTTATTCTGAAGCAGAAAGCATACAGAAACCGGTCTGTTTATATTAAACACGTGTTCTTTCCATACACACACTACATTACAACAACATTTGACTTAGCATGTTGTTAGCATGCTGGCTAACAACTACTACTTTCTGTCCTGTGTTTACAACTTGCCGTGGCTTCACAGCAGATGTATATATAATGACCTAACAACTAAATAAAAGAATAAATTAGATTTACGCAGTTTCATAGAGTCGAAATGAAGCTAATCAACATGTTGGCTTACTAGCTGCAGCTCGCTAATGCTAATCTGACATTAGCCACCAAAACATCCTCAAACTGGGCCTTTTAAAACGCCTTCATCCCGCCTAAAATGCCGTTAAATCCTCCCGAAATGAATTCTACTCACTGTCGAGATAATGTTCGAGATAAATCGCTGTCGCCATGGCGACGATCTTCACTCGTTCGCGGCGTGTTGTTCTCCTCCGCCAGCCCGCGTGAGGTGGAACAACATTGGCATGTCATGAATAATTAATGAGACGACTCTCTGCTAGTGGCTGATTGGTGACACTTTTGAATGCCGTGTTTTCATTGGCTGGCAGTGGGGCTAGGCTCATTAGCGTTATTTCGACGTCCATCGCCTAGATCGAGAGAAAGATAGATATGACAATAAACAAAACTTTAATATACATAATAATATTTTACATTTTAAACCATAAAATAAGTATTATTGTCAGCATGTATATAATATATATATATGAAGGTATCGCATTTAATAATAAGAAGGATATATATCATATTTAATATATTAATGTAGTGATAAAATAAATATTATTTTACAATATAATAATAATAATATAATAATTTTAATGCATTATTAAAATAAGTAGTATTAGCATAATATTTATTATCAGACATATTTAATTTTTTTTTATTATTTCATTAATAATCAAAAACATTTACATTTAGTCATTTAGCAGACAGTTTGCTTAATGATAATAATAAAATAATAATAAAAATGCTTCTATTGTCCTCATTTGCAAGTCGATTTGAATAAAAGCATCTGTTAAACATAAACAATTCAATGTAGCAATATATATATATATATATATATATATATATATACTTATTACATTTATTAAATATAATAAATAATAAAAAATAATTATTTTATCCTATCATTTTAATATTCAAATGATGCAAAAACAATATTCAAAAGGGTGGTGCCCACGTGACTATGCTCTAACCCGGAAGTGCTGTGAGTGGCTCTTAGGTGTGAGCTGAGTGTGAGTTGTTTTGGAGTTTTTCCTGCTGTAAGATCACACGTGCTTTACTGACACTTTGAACACTTGACTCTACTTCTCTACTGCCTCGATCGATAGTTGCAGTATGTGATTATACATATGAACGAGTCAGAAAGACTGTAACTGTGTCTTTAACTCTTCTCAGCTCAGCGATGCATGTGTTGAATTAGATGGACGCGTCAGAGGAGCGCGATGACGCGGGACTCGTGTCACGGTGGGGACCTAAATTGAGGTCCCCACAGGTACAAAAGCTTATAAATCATAGAGAATTACTTTTTTTGAGAAAGTAAAAATGCAGAAAGTTTCCTGTAAGGGTTAGGTTTAGGGGTAGGGTTGGTGTAGGGCAATAGAATATACGGTATGTACAGTAGAAAAACCATTACGCCTGTGGAGAGTCCCCACAAGGATAGCTGACCAGACATCTGTGTGTGTGTGTGTGTACCTGGTGTTTATCACATTATGGGGACTAAATGTCCCCACAAGGTCCAAATTTACTGGTATTACTGTCCTTGTGGGGACATTTTGTCCCCATAATGTGATAAACACCAGGTACACACACACACATTGTTTAGGTCACCATGAGGAAACAAGCTTATAAATCATACAGAATTAAGTTTTTTGAAAATCTAATACAGAAAGTTTCCTGTGTGGGGTAGGTTTAGGTGTAGGGTGATAGAAAATACAGTTTGTACAGAATAAAAACCATTATGCCTGTGAGAGTCCGCGTAAAAAAAAATAGAGAAACCGTGTGTGTGTAAAACCAGAAATTTTTGACTCGAGGAAAAAGATGATTAAAAGTAGTAAATGATGTTTATCTGAAAGTGTTACAGTGCAGACAGGTTTTCTGTAAGGGGTAGGTTTAGGGTTAGGGGATAAAAAATATCGTTTGGTCAGTACAAAAGTAATAGAAGTCTATGGAAAATCCACACAATTCACAGAAACAAACGTGTGTCTGTGCGTGTGTGTCTGTGTGTGTCTGTCTGTGTGTGTGCGTGTGCGTGTCCAAATGAAGTTCTTAGCAATGCATATTACTAATCAAAAATTAAGTTTTGATATATTTACGGTAGGAAATTCACAAAATATTTTCATGGAACATGATCTTTACTTAATATCCTAATGATTTTTGGCATAAAAGAAAACCATACAATTGGCTATTGCTACAGATATACCCGTGCTACTTATGACTGCCTTTGTGCTCCAGTGTCACACGTGTGTTTATGAATGTTTAATGTGTGTTTCTGTTTGTTTGAAGATCATACTTCCTCCAGATTACCCGAGCTCAGCGCCTCCGATATATCAGATCAAGTAACGTTATGTCTGATTGCTTGCCGTTTGAGTTTTGTGTTGGGAACTGAATACGATGTGTGATTGACATGTTGTTTTTGTCCTGACAGCGCTGGCTGGCTCAGAGGAGCGGACAGAACGACTCTGTCCAACAGTTTAGAGGAGCTGTATGTGTGAGTATGTGTGTCAGTGTGGCGTGAGTCTGCAGAGACTTCATGTAGAGCGTCATAACCGTGCATGTCATGTGTTATGAAAAACAAAATGTATTCAGTATAATATGAGCCTTTTATTCTATCACATCATCTGTTATATATAGGGAGAATACAGGGGAGAGTATTCTGTACCTGTGGGTGGAGAAAATAAGAGAATTCCTCGCAGAAAAATCACAAAGTGAAGGTAAGAACTAATGCAGCTTGTGCTGAATTAGCCTGAACTTTAGTTATCGTTATTGTAATTTCTCAATAATGATCAGTTAGTAATGAAAGTGGCTTTGCGGAAGTAATAACTGTGCTGATATGGGGTTGTACAGTAGGGGGCAGTAGATGAAATGTGATGTGAGAGGCTCAAATCAGTCTTTATTATGCAAGACTGATGCATATCTAGGGACTGTATAAATAGGGTGAGAAATGAGATGAAGTCGGTATTCTGTTCACAAATACACGTGAAGCATTAGACTTACCTGTTGCACGAACAGCTCATACGACCCATACACTAGGCGTTATTGCTTAATCTTCCCCACCTCTCTTTATTTTTAATGTGGTGTGTGAATGCATTTGGTGTCATTGGCAGGAATGCCATCGATTCTTGCATGTCTCATAAAGCCAATGTTGATTTCGATGCATATTATGCTGCTTCGCTAAGAGAAACTTTTCAGCTTTATATTCTGTAGAACATAGACACGCTTACAGTGAGTAAAACCAGACAGGGAGAGGTCCACTAAAGTTGCGTCTTCTCATTACAGACACAGACTGCGGAGCGTTTGTTGTTTTGGATTTTGTCACAGCACCAGACGCTCCTTCTGTGAACTAATTGGCCTCTGTTTTAAAGCCCCACTAGGGTTTTGTTGTGTTGTTTTGAGCGCCACGCTGGAAGCGTGCTCATTTTCGTGTAAAGTGAACTCTGGAAAGCGGGAGAATTAGAGTCAGGAGGGGAATCACGCTGTCATTTATTACCTCCGGCTTTTAAGGAACTCGGCGTTCCACCAGCAGGTAATATAAAGAAGAAAAAAAGCATAGGTGCTCGACATAGAGAAATCAAGCAAATGTTTGGGTCTGTGGTTTCATGAGCCCTTTGAAAAGAATAGGAGGCATACAGTGTTCTCTGCGGAAATGTACAGGAAGGAGGCACAATTGAAACAGGTGCACGGGGCCTGCCGGCAATCAGGTACATGGCCTGTCATTAACCTAGAAGTAATAGACCCTTCAGCTCACGGAAAGCAGCCTCTTTTGATTGTTCGAAACTGGTAGGTGGAGAGCAGCATCTCAGAAACCAAGGAAGTTATAAAAACTCGGCATAATCATGCTGTAAATGCTGGCAGAGTCAAGAGATTGTGGTGTGCAGATAAATATGCAGTTACAGTGCATTGAAAAATATGGCTTGGATTGGATTTCAGAAAACATTTATGCATTTAGCTGACGCTTTTATCGAAAGCAGTTTCCAAATGGGAATATACCAAGCATTTTATCATGTATATATAAAAAAGATATATTTTTTTAATCCATACAATGACAGTCAATGGGGTCCGAAGTCGTTTGGTTCCCAACATTCAACAAAACATCTAGCTGGCGCTTTTAGCAAAATTAGCTTCCAAATGGGAATATCCCAAGCAATTTATCATATATCGCAAAAGACAATATTTTTAAATATGTTCAAGCGTGTATTCCATCCATACAATGAAAGTCAGTGGTCAAAACCAGTTTCCAAATGAAAATATCCCAAACAATTTATCATAAATCAAAAAAAAAAAAAAAGAAAAATGTTTGTTTATTTTGTCCATACAATGAAATTCAATGGGGTCAAACGTTGTTTCCCAACGTTCTACAAAATACCTATATGGTGCTTTTATCAAAAGTGGCTTCCAAATGGGAATATCCCAAGTAGGGCTGGACTATTTATCGAAAAGAAATTGAAACCAAAATTCTGAACCTCTAACCGACATAATTTTTCCATGTCAGTTATTTAATTTTTTTTTTTTTAAGTCCTGTTAATTCTTTCCCCTTAAAAACATACTACCGTGTGTGTAGTCGGCGCTCTACGGACGTGTATGATTGTTGCACTTGAGTCTTTTGCAGCGTTTCGCACGTGAGTGGCGCGTTAAATAATTTAAACTTTTACACACAGCAGAGCCACTCATCAATGTCAGTTCCAAAACAGTGGACCAATCAGAAGAACCCGGGGGCTTTTGTTTACAGTAGTAGGTTGGTATGGCAACGTTTTGCTTTTGCTTCTGCGATACACCTTTTTAAAAACCATTCCTGGTTTCCCATGATGATATTTAAAATGTATTTTGTTTGCAAGAAATACTGGATATTTTCTACTATTGACATGGCAATATTCATTTATTTTGTTTGCAAAAAAAGGATTTATTTCTATTTTTCCGTGTATTTTTTTATTTATTTTTTTTGCAAAAAAACTGAAATGTGACTTTTTTCATAAGACATCTTCATTTCAAGCAAGCTTTGATTTCAGTTGTTCGAAATATTTAACAAATAACCATAAATAGATTGTTTCCATCAATTATTTTAAAATCACAAAGATAAGAAATGCACTCTTTCATTAGAAAAAAATATCCCACGTTTAATAGTTGAGTATATTTACAGTACAAACCTTTAATGAACCATGAGGGCAAAAAAATTTAAATACTAAATAAAATAATCGTTCAATAAGCGTAATCAAGGTAAAGTGTTCAATTAATGGAGGTTTAGGTTTTAGGTCATACTGTCCAGCCCTAAACCCAAGCAATATATCATATATCACAAAAGAAGATATTTTGAAAAATGCTGAAGTGTTTATCCCATTAATATAATGAAAGTCAATGGGGTCCAAAGTTGGTTGGTTCCCAACGTTCTACAAAATATAGCTTGCGCATTTATCAAAATCAGCTTCCAAATGGGGATATCCAAAGCAGTTTATCACATATCACAAAAAAAGGTATTTTGACAAATGTTGCAGTGTTTATTCTGTTCATACAATAAAAGTTAATGGGTTCCAGAGTCCAGTTCAGTTCCCAATGTTCTACAAAGCATCTTACAAAGGTCGTACTGGTTTGGAATGACTTGACAAACTAATTTTGAAGGTTAAACTGTGGTTGTGGTTGTAAATACTTGTGCCAACATCAGGTTACTTTTACATTTATGCTTTTTATTAAATGCATTCAAGGTACACATTCTATCAGTTCTTGCTTTCCTTGGGAATCAAACCCATGACCTTGTTATTGTTAGCTTAATAGTCTACTTGTTTGAGCTACAGGAAGGTGCACTTCAGTGTGCTATAGTCATGATAAAAATAACCCTGTAGATACCGAGTGGGCGGTTGACAGGACCTCAGCACCTGACAGGATATAATATCCCATGAGTCAGTACCAACAAGTCCAATCTCTGGATGGCAAGTTTCTACGTTCACACTTTTTCCCTGCATATTGAAATTCTTGTGAATCAACCACACGATGCAAAACGTTGGGATGCTTTTCACTTGAGTAGCCCTGTCGCTCGTTCCCGTGTCATTTCTCCTCATTGTCCGCCTCAAATCTCTCTTGCCTTTGAACATAATGTTTGCCATAATTATTGCACGCCGGATATTGGATCCATGCCTTTGATCTAGCCATCTCAATAAAGTCGAATTGTTTGGATAAAATGAACACAGCAGCCTGCCGCGGCGAAGGTAGATGGTTTTTTAAGAGCGCTCCTTCTCCCTCCTGTCACAGACCTCGGCGTTGGGGAGATCTAACCGTAATCGATGAAAAGACTTGTGCTGCCTTGACAGAACCTGTTAATCTTTTTCACCAGGGCTCTAAAAGTTCCCATGAGGTCAATGGCAAGTCCAAGAATTGACCCTGATGGGTTTTGACACTCAGCTCGTTTGCTCGGCTCTTCTTGGAAGGGGGAGAAAATCTTTTATTTTTAAACCTTTTTAAAGGAGGGAATTTCCTTTGTTAGCTTTGGTCGATAACACTCTTTTTTTTTTTTTCCAAGTACAGTTAATCTGAGTGTAGAGATGTTTATCCGTTGCATAAAGGTGCTGTAGGCATTTTTCTGCCACATAAAATGTTCCTATTACCCGAAAGCTCAGAAGGTGTCCTGAGAAATCACACTCCATGACAGCCGCTGATTCCTTAAAGCGCAAAAGAAGAATCTTGCTGAGTGCTGGCTGTGCTTTTTATTTTTGGCTCAATCAAAAATGTGTAGGTAGTGGATGCCTGTCAGTCATTTTTGCATGTTGAAGATTGGCTGATTTGGTTGGGAGGGAGACATTTTGAGAGGAGGCCAAGTTTTATTTATCTGCATCCTGCTCGTAAGCATTTTACAGTATATCTGTTACATAATTTCCTGTTGTTTGTCAGTTCCATGATCTCCCATCATAAAGGAACGTCTCATTAGTATCCCATAATAAGCTCATAATTGCAACGTTTAAGCATTTGATTTGTAGCTCTGTCTGCCAGTAACGTGCTACAATAGAAACTAATTACCCATTGGTGGTATGTAGATGCAAAAAATGATTGCAATCTACAAATAACGTCACCTGGTTACCAATTTTAAGTGTTACTTGTTGCTTGTTCCATACTAGTATGAGCAGAATGCATTTTAATCTAGGCTTATCACTGGTTAACAGTCAGACGATAGTCCACTGCCGTACGAATCCTTAAAAGCTATTGTTTTTGAAGGACAGCTCTCCCACGCCTTTCGCTGAATGTGATAATTGCGACTGAAATTATGTATGTATGTCAACGGTTTTAATATGCAAATGAGTTTCCATGAATGGTGCGCTCAAGAGGGAAATGGAGCTCCAACTGAATGGAGGGGAAAAATGGAAATGGGCTCGTGACTAGCCGTCCTGTTCGTTAGCCAAGTCCCATTAATTATTTTAAGTCTCGCCTTGCCACGAGGTCTTCGTAAGGTGCCACACTCCATAAACTCAGATGTAGAAAGAAGGACACTCAATTACAGGCGTGTGGGTTGGCGAACGTATCAGATCTTGCTTCATTAGAACCTTTTAATAGAAACAAAATTGCATGTTTGTAGACGTAACAAAGTTCGAGTGATAAGTCTTGAAGAAGTGCAGCTTTACTTGCAAATGGTTCAAGGTGACAAAATTAAACGATGGTAATCAGGGATGTAATCACAGCGCTAAACAGACCTTCTGATTTGACCTTCACCCATCAGTAAGCGTTCTGCACGTTGAGTCTTGACATCCTATCAAGACACCGGGATACGAGACACATCCCTGCTGACAAAATCAATCTGGAGATGCAGTGCAGACGGTGATCCACTGCATGAGCACCTACTAGAAACCATGAAACTGTGTGACCTCAGGCAGTTTAATCGCTGCATGAATGCAGGATATTGCTGGTCTAAAGCAATTTTTCTTTACACTTTCATTGTTGTTGTTGGTTAAAGGATAAGTTTACCAATTTTCAACCAGCTTTGTATTGTAACAATGTCTGTAGTAGAGGAAAATGAACTGTGTCATCTTTCTCCTGCACCCAGATATCAGTGTTTATTTGTCACCAGAAGTCTGTAGGATGCAAAAAGCATAATTTGGATCGACTTCTTGAGGAGAAACAGGATATGATGTTGCTAAATAATGAGTTTTTACATCGATCTGTTTTTCCACATGTCATTATTCTCTTCATTAGGCCGTTGTAGGAGTCATTAAACTGCAGGGCCGTGACACCATCAGAAATTTGTTGGAGGCCTGTGATTTCCAAAATCTGTCTCAAGTGACAATCGTGGCCCAAATTGTAGTAACCAGTGCCCAGAAACCCGCTAAAAACAATAGATGCCTAACTAGACACCAGCTAACCACTGTAAATAGTTTTTTGGCAGGGATTTTACACGGGTCCCATGAATTCAATTTCTGATGTAACTAGTGTGTGCAGATATAAAAAGATTTGGCAAAGAACCTGCATTCAGCATGTCAAGCAAATTGGAAGCAATTGACGACAGCGACCTTGTGTTGTTTACTACACCGTTCGTTTAACTCTCAATCTCGAGATCACGACTTCGACAGGTTGCCTGTGTCCTACAGAGAATCTGTCTTTTGAATGATTCATTAGTGTTTTGAAGAAACGAACGCCAAAGTTAAATCAAGCCCTTGATTACCTGTTTTGAACATCTGTTTCGTTCGAACTTGATTTCCTTTGTTTTCAAATGAACGTTTCGGCTTTGACGACTCCGTGTGCGATTCCGAAACCCCATTGTTTCGCTGTGATGTGCTCAGTGTGCATGCAGTTGTTTCTTTTTTGTAGTGCGAATATTACATTAGTGATGCTAATTTGTTCCCCCCACACGTTTTGGTAAACAAACAGGCCTAAATACACCCGGTTCCCAATACACGGCTCTCGTGCTTGACGGTGACGTCACTTCGGAAGAAGTAACTTAATCTAATATCAAACTTCAGAGGGAAGGTAATTAGCGTCTTCCCTCATCAACTGAATGATTACAGGCCTAATACTCGACAGTGTCATGAAAAGTGCCGGCTCTCTTCGCACTCGGCAAACATCAGCTCTGTTTTTACAGTAATTATTCAGATGAGATGCTAGTTACAGCAGGTTGTGCGGTGAAGGCCCCTGAGAGAGAGAGATCAAAAGGTTGTGTTTTTTATATATATTTCCGCGGGGCATGAATATTTACGTCTGACACTGAGAGGTGGGGGTGGTTGAGGAGAAATGGAAAGCAGTCAAAGGTCGTTAAAGCTTTGGAACCAGTTTAATTTTTTGACGAGCTATAATTAAATTCCCAAATTGATTTGCCTCAGATTTACTGAACTAAACAGGGAAGAAAAGCCAAGCGCACCTCAGCAGTTTCAGAGGTATTTTCTGACGAAATCCCTCAGGTGTTTGTTTAAAGATGAGCTTGAGGTTAATTTTGTGGTCAGAAGGGTTGTAATATGTGCTTAACTGTACTGACCAGGTTATGGCAACAGTCATGGAAAACCTGGAAGTGTTAGGGAATTTAAAATGTGTGGTTTCCAGACATGGAATAGTCATCGAAATCCTTGAAGTCACTGAAATTTCAAGGTACTTGGGAACCCTGAAAACCAATTCTCCCATTGAGATGTGTTCAGATCTCAGGATGTTTTTGACATTTGTACATTGACGTTTAATCGCAACCACTTGAACTTTCAGAAACTGGTCTTTTTCCCACATTTCGGTGCATAGCAAGATATTTTAAAGAGGTTTATTTGGTTTGATGTAGAATGTCAGCATTATGATCAAGCAGAAATCTCTGCCAACCGTCACATAATGCAATTAATATTCATTATCCGAGCCACAACTGGCACAGAGTTTGTGTGCTGAACAAACTTCCTGAGGACACAAGATGTGAACAACAGATAAGTCTTCAGCAAAAATAAGCACTTTTTTAAATTCACAGAGCTTTAGGTCTAATCATTGAACTTAGCATTTAAGCTTTCAAATAGTGTCTCATGTCAACTAGGCATTTAAAACCATATCGTGCTTCTGAAGAAAGGCTGATGAAATTTATAATGTCTTCCTCCCACTTTTCCCATTGTTTCCCAAGACCTAGTACCTGACAAGGCATACAAATGAAAATCATCCCTAGCGATCTCTGAAAAGGGATTTTGAAATGTTTTGAGCCTCTATGACCATGGAAATGGGGACGTCAAGGAGATTCCTTGGTGGAATGTGTGGGAAAGCTGTTTTTATCACTGAATATTAATGCCGTACTTCAGAACAGCTGGAACGGCTGATTGCGACTTCATTTAGTTCTCATTTAGTTTCTCGTTTCAAGATTCCAAATGACATATGGAAAACGACTGCCAGTGATTTGAGTGCGAATGTGTCGTCTTTAGCGTATACTCTTAAAAATAGGTCCCAGAAAGGGTATTTGCAGTGGTGCCATAGAAGAACCATTTTGGGTTCCCAAAGAACCTTGCAGTGAACAATTCTTAAAAGAACCATTTTGAAGAACATATTAATAATCTAAAGAACCTTTTTCCATTATATATATATCAAAAAAAACTTTGTCCAATGGAGAGTTTCCATGGCCGTTAAATGTTCTCCATTGAACCACAGATGCCAATAAAGAGCCTTTTTTTGAGTGTAAATTGTTGCATTCAGTTTACGTTCAACTGCTGTTGTTTAATGAATGAGGCTCTTTGAGATGTTTCCATGCATTATTTATCTTAGTTGCTTTGAAATCTTGATGGAAGTGCGCTTTGACCCTTCAAATTATATTGTGGGGTGAAACAGTGCAAGTATGTGTTGTTTCAAAAGAGACGTTAAGGACTATTTGCATTCAAGAATGTTTGATGATTAATTAAAGAAACTTGTGGGAGAATGTCACTGACCTTTCTTTATTTACATCTTGAGCACTGTTTATTTTAATCATTATATATAATTTAATAGAGTAAAATGCCTTGCATATTGCATTGCATGTCCTTGGCGTCCTTGCTGATTGACTGAAATGTGCAATGGTCTGTTAAATTATTATTTTTCACCACAGTTCATTGGCCTGCGCATGTATCTGTGATTTTAGATGGACCAGAAATGGGTAAGACTGTGACAACAGAGGAAGAAGCTCATGACTACGACGAGGACGATCTTCCAGACTACAGCATGCTAAAACTCGCCAACCAATCAGCTCAGCTCCTCTCCAGTGCTTCTGATGGTATGTTCCAATATATTGACATTCATTTCCATACTCCAAAGGAATTCCTAAAGAGAGAAACACTGGGTCTTAATTACTAATGATTGCTTGTAGGGATGCACCGATATCGCTTTTTCCAGAACGAGGCCGATATTTTTGGTACTTGTCGATACCGAGTTCTGATACCTGTATTTTCGTTGCATTTGTAATTTTTTAAAATATTGGGTACAGAAACCGACAGAATATGTATAATGTTAGTTAGCACACGTTTGTGTTGGTGCAGAATGAGAGGGACATGTATAGTCTAGCGCATTTCACACAGGCTAGATTCGCTTTAGCCATAAAGTCGTGTATGCTTGACGTTTAAAATAAATGTTGTTTATAGTGAATGCCCCAATATTACCAGTATACCACTGGTAACAGATGCACTGATACCAGTATCGGTATCAGTGCATCCCTAATTGCGTGGATTATCTTGTATTTGTACGCACAGGACAAAGTCTTGCAAAACTTGAACTCACAAAACGCGCATGAATTTGGTAATGTTAATGAATTTGGAGTATTCTAAATGAATATGAACGAAAAAAATCTTGATTTTACGGCCTTTCGTCAGTCTCAACAAACATATGATACTCTCTAAAGACCAGTCTCATGACTCTTTGCATATGCTTGCTGTGTACGTATGGTTTCATACATTTTTCCGTAAATTTAGAATGCATTTTAGTGTGAAAGTTAATGGTGAATCGTGATTTGTTCGCGAAAACATTAATGCACAGATTTCAGTTTATGCGTATACTTGGGCCCTCTGGCTACCAGTATGATTACATGTGTTTATAGTAGGGGTGTGCGATATATATCGTCTGCGATAATATCGTAATTGTTGTTTTAACGATGTGCGATTTGACATTATCGAGTATTTTGCAAAAACCATTCAAAACATCCCTACAGAGCGCACGCATACATTACGTGAAGTCTAGACTAGTGCGTGTGCATTTAGAGTGCGTTACTTCACTGCATGATTCAGTCTATTAAAATGCATTTAGAATGATCACAAATTCAAGACATGATGGCAGAAAATTTATATATTTATACCACTTCATTTAGTTATTCAATTTCACACGAAGAGTGCCGTTTTTCTCCAAAAATTACCATGATTACAAATGTGACATTGAATTCAATAAACAATAAGTTAATTAAGAGACTTACGTTTTAGACACCATATTGCTTGTTTTTGCTCTATTTCGCCAACAAAAATCATTCCGAATACAGCCACAGCGCTGTTTTGTGTCTCTGAGCAACATGACGGTGTTTCGTTCTTGAATGAATCAACCGTTTAAATGATTCGGTTCAATCGCAATGACTCACTTATTAACAGTGATTTGCTGCCACCTGCTGGCGGTTTTAATTTCAAATTTCGGCTTTTTCTTTCTTTTCTTTTTCTTTTTTTTGATTTTTTCATGTTTTAAATAATTTCAAATATCAGTATTCAACGTTTTATGTTTAATATATCAAAAAATTATTTATGCATTTGTAATTGCAGGTTAAATGCATCATGTCTTGCATTGTGAGACACAAAATACATGTGTGTAAATACATCTAAATGCCACTTCAGATGCAGCTTCTGCGTTGATTTAATTTGCTTGGTAACAGCCCAAATGTCTTATTATTCTAATTACCTGATTAAATGTAAGAATTTGACTCAAAAGATAA